CCCCTCACGGCCGCCTCCAGCCCCGCCGCCGCCGCCGCCGCCGCGCCCTGAGGTGAGTACGGGCCCCCCCCGCCCCGCCCCGGTATTGTTGTGGCGGAGCCGCGGGGGCGGGAGGAGGAGGGGGAGGCGCTTTGTTCCTCCCGGTACCGGGGATCGCCACCGGCTCCCCCCCCCGCGATCCGCCCGTGGATGGGGGGGCCGGAATCGCCCCCTCCGCCGCTCGGGGCCGTCGGTGCAGCGGGAACCCCCCCCCACGGTAACGGCAGCGGGGAGCGCGGGGTGCCGGCGGCGCGGGGCTGGGGCGGGCAGCGCCGTGGGGATCCTGGGGTGGCACCGCCGTGGGGACCCCCGGTGGGACCGTGGGGGGACGGTGGCACCGTGTGGGGACCCCCGGTGGCACCGTGTGGGGACCCCCCGGGCCGGGGCCCTCAGGGCACTCCCGGAGTGTCCAGCGCCCAACTTGGGGACCGCGGGGCCACCGGCCGGGCTGTGGCACCCCGAGGGGGCTGTCCCCGCTTTGGGGACCCCGGCCGTGCCCGGGGCACCCCGGCCGTGCCCGGGGCACGCCGCCGGTGCCCGGTGGCCCGCGGCACTGTCGCCGTGCTTTGTCCCTGCCGCCGTGCCTGTTGCAAGCCCAGCTGTGCCTGTTGAGCCCCAGCCGTTCCTGTGGCGCTCCAGCTGTGCCCAGGGCACCCCAAACTGGCCCGTGGCACCCCAGATTTATCTGTTGTGCCCTGGCTGTGCTCGTGGCACCCCGATTTTGCCCGTGGCATCCTGGCCAGGCCCATGACAACCCCCCCTCGTCTTTGTCTGTGGGACCCCGACTCTCCCTGTGGCACCCCAGCTGTGTCCCTGGCACCCCAGTTGTGCCCTTGGCACCCCAGATGTGCCCTCGACATCCCAGATGTGGCCGTGACACCCCAGCCGTGCCTATGGCACCCCAACAGTGCCCTTGGCACCCCAGATGTCCCTGTGGCACCCCAGCTGTGTCCCTGGCACCCCAACTATGGCCATGGCACCCCAGATGTGCCCCCGACATCCCAAACGTGGCTGTCACACCCCAGCTGTGCCCATCACACCCCAGCCGTGCCCGTGCCACCCTCACCCCCCGCCCCAGGAAGCCCGGCCGGGGTGTCCCCCATTCCCACGGCCCTTCCCGTCCCCCACCCTCCAGGAAATCCTTCCCGAGCAGTCACCGGGGGCCCCCCCGAGCTCCCCCAACTTCCTGCTTCCCGCCGGGCAGGGCAGAACAATTCCCGGCCGCATCCTGCCCGCCCCGGGGCACCCTCGGGGACACCCCCGGGGGCACCGGGGGGTCCCGGGCAGGACGTGGGGGGTGGGAAGCAGCCGGGCCCCCCCCCCCCATTTCCTCGGAGTGTCCCCCGGGGCGTGGGGTGCCCCCGGCCTCGTGACACCGCGGCCTCAATGCCGCCTTGTGCCCGCGCCGCCCGCGTGACGCCAACGCCGCTGCCCCGTGGCACTGACGGGGCCCCGGCGTGGCCGTGTCCCCTCGCAGGGACCCCGCGGTGTCCCCAGCGCCGTCCCGGTGCCATGGCCGTTGTCACCGTGCTGCTGGCGCTCGTCACCGCTGCCACCGGCGCTGCTGGCACCCCGGGGGCATCGTGGAGTGCTGTGCCCAGGAGGACCGTGCCCTACGAGGGTGAGTGCCAGGGGGATCGGGGGTGGCTTGTGAGCTGTTGTCACCACCTCGGGTGGCTTTTGTCCCCTCCCCACCCCTGGAGTTTGTTAGCACTGCGGGCTGGGTGGGTGTCCCCAAAACTGAGGCGTGGGGACATGCAGGGCCAGATGTGCCATCCCCAGTCCTGTGCCAGCACCTGGGAGCCACTGCCTGGTGCCGTGTCCCCTGTCCCCATCCCTGTGCTGTGTCCCCTGTCCCCATCCCTCTGTCAGGTCCTTTGTCCTGTCCGTCCTCCACGTCCACACCCTGCCACCACCCCGTCCCATCCGTCTGCCATGTCCCTTGTCCCATTTCCTGTCCCCACGCCCTGCCATCATCCTGTCCTGTCCCTCGGCCATGTCGCCTGTCCCCATCCTTCTGCCGTGTCCCCTGTCCTGCCAGCACCCTGAGGTTCTGTCCTTGTTCCGTGCCAGCAGCCTCTGTCCCTGCCCTGTGCTGTCACCCTGTGCCCCATGCCGTGCCAGCTCCAGTGTCCCTGTCCCTGTGCCATGCCCTGTGTCTCCATGCCGTGCCACATCCCGCTGTCCTCATGTGGTGGCAGTGCCCCCTGTGCTCTATCCCTGTCCCATGCCAGTGTCCCCATGCTGTGTCCCCTATCCCCATGCCAGACCCCATCCCTCTGCTATGCCACTGTCCCCATGCCTGTGACTTCGGTCCCTTTCCTGTGCCACTGTCCCCGTGCCGTGTCCCTTGTCCCCACTCCTTTACTGTGCCACTCTCCCTGTGCAGTGTCCCTTGTCCCCACGCCCAGACCCCACCCTTAGCCATGCCACTGTCCCCGTGCCGCCCCCGTGCCGTGCCAGCCCCGTGTCAGGCCACTGTGTTCAGTGACAAAGGGACCTTTGTGTGCCACAGGGCCAGGGGAGGCCGGCAGGGGCGGGGGGTGCCCCCAGGGGTCCCTGCCCTGGGTGCCTGTGTCCCCACAGAGTTGTGGGGGGGGTCCCAGATCGGTGTCCCCACAGAGCTGCATGGCAGGGTCCCCGTGTCCCCACAGAGCTGTGGGGGGGTCCCAGCTCAGTGTCCCCACAGAGCTGTGGGTTCCCAGCCCACTGTCCCTGTCCCCACAGAGCTGTGGTGTCCCAGCCCACTGTCCCTGTCCCCACAGAGCCGCAGGTGGGATCTGGCAGGACCCCACCCTTAGCCATGCCACTGTCCCCGTGCCGCCCCCGTGCCGTGCCAGCCCCGTGTCCCTGTCCCCGCCCGGGGCCCTGGCGCTGTCCCCTCAATGGTTCCTTTCTGCAGGGCCCGGGGGTGGCCGGGGGGCACGGGGGGGGGAGCGCCCCCGTGTCCCCACAGAGCTGTGGGGGGGTCCCAGCTCAGTGTCCCCACAGAGCTGTGGGTTCCCAGCCCACTGTCCCTGTCCCCACAGAGCCGCAGGTGGGATCTGGCAGGGGTTGGGGGGTGCTGTGGTGTCCCAGCCCGGTGTCCCCACAGTGTGTGGTGTCCCAGCTCAGTGTCCCCTGTCCCCACAGAGCTGCAGGACACTGCCAAGCGTTTCTCCCAGGGCGGGGTCTCTCACTACCTGACGCTGACGCTGGACGAGGCTGAGGCGCTGCTCTACGTGGGTGCCCGCGAGGCCGTGTTCGCCCTGGCCACGGGCACCGTGGAGCTCAAGGCGGCGGTGAGGCCCTGGGGCACCCCAAAATCAGGGTGGCATTTGGGGTGGGGGGTGCCCTGCCAGCCCCTGACCCCTGTGCCACCCCCAGATCTCCTGGGAGGCGCCCGTGGAGAAGAAGGCGGAGTGCGTGCAGAAGGGCAAGAACAACCAGGTGGGCACGGCGTGCTGGGGGGTTGGGGCACTGTGCCAGCTCCAGGGGCCCGGTCCCTGTGTCTTTGTGCCATGTCCTGTGTCCCTGTGCTGTGCCATCTCCAGCATCCCTGTCCCTGTGTCCCCGTGACGTGTCCTGTGTCCCCACGACGTGCCCCATTCCCCTGTCCCCATGTGGTGGCAGTGCCCCCTGTCCTCTATCCCTGTCCCGTGCCAGTGTCCTCGTGCCATGTCCCTTGTCCCCACCTCTTTACAGTGCCACTGTCCCCATGCTGTGTCCCTTGTCCCTACTCCTATACTGTACCACTGTCCCTGTGCCATGTCCCTTGTCCCCACCTCTTTACCATGCCATTTCCCCAGTGCCACATCCCCTGTCCCCATTAATGTCCCCTGTGTCCCCTCCCAGACCGACTGCTTCAACTACGTGCGCTTCCTGCAGAGCTACAACAGCTCCCACCTGTACGCCTGCGGCACCTACGCCTTCCAGCCCAAGTGCACCTACATCGTGAGTGGGGGTCCCAAATCCCGGTCCCCAGCGTCCCCTGCCCTCCCCAGGGGTGGCCCTGTCCCCAGGGCTGGTGTTCACAGTGGCTTTATGGCTGTGAGAGCAGGTTGGGGCTGTCTCCTGTGCACTTGGAGTGTCCCGGGTGGGTCACCTGAATCAGGGCCACCCCTGGGTGAGGGACAGGGACAGTCCCGGATGGGTCATCTTGGAGGGGTCCCTGTCCCTGGGGGTGACATTTAGGGTGATGAGAGAGCAGGTTGGGGATGTCCCCAATGTCCCCCTGCCCTCCCCGGGCATGTGGCCCTGTCCCCAGAAGGATCATCCAGGACTGTCCCCATCTCAGAAGGATCATCCAGGGGTGTCCCTGTCCCCAGGAGGGTCGCCTGGAGGGTGTCCATGTCCCTGGGGCGTGTCTGGGTGGCACAGACATGACCCGTGCCCCCCACCCCCCCTGTGCCCCCCAGGAGCTCTCTGGCTTCACCCTGGACCCGGTGGCATTCGAGGACGGCAAAGGCAAATGTCCCTACGACCCCACCAAGGGTCACACCGGCCTCATCGTGGGTAGGTGACACCTCTGGGGTCACGGGGGGTGCCACCTGTGCCCGCCACCCCCCTTAAACACCTCCCTCACAGACGGGGAGCTCTACTCTGCCACCTTCAACAACTTCCTGGGCACGGAGCCCGTCATCCTGCGCAACCTGGGCCCGCACTACTCCATGAAGACGGAGTACCTGACCTCGTGGCTCAACGGTGGGGACACCAGGGGACAGGGGACACGGGAGGGGACAGGGCACAGGGCACAGCTGTGACAGGCTGCTTTTGCAGAGCCTCACTTCGTGGCGTCGGCCTTCGTGCCCGAGAGCGCGGGCAGCGGCGACGACGACAAGGTTTACTTCTTCTTCAGCGAGCGCGCCGTCGAGTACGACTGCTACGCCGAGCAGGTGGTGGCACGGGTGGCACGGGTCTGCAAGGTACGCCTGGGCACACCTGGGGACACACCCTGAGCTGTCTTGAGGGCTGGCAAGTTGGCATGGGGTTGGGCAGGTGAGGACATCTGCTGCGCTGAGCAGGTGGTGGCATGGGTCTGCAAGGTACCTTGTCCTGGTTCCTGTGGTCACCATGGTGGCCTTGTCCTGTTGCCCATGGTGGCCTTGTCCTGTTGCCCATGGTGGCCTAGTCCCAGTGCCAATGGTCAGCATGGTGGCCATGTGCCCATGGTGACCTTGGTGGCCATGTCCCAGTGCTCGTGGTGGCCTTGTCCTGCTGCCTGTGGTGCCCATGGTCACCATGGTGCCCACGGTGGCTGTGTCCTGGCACCCATGGTCCCCACAGTGGCTGTGACCCAATTCCTGCGGTGCCCACGATGGCCGTGTCCCGGTGCCCACGGTGCCCACAGTGGCTATGTCCTGGTGCCCGTGGTCACCATGCTGCCCACCATGGCCATGTCCCGGTGCCCGCGGTGCCCACAGCGCGCTGTCCCCCGCAGGGTGACGTGGGCGGCGCGCGCACGCTGCAGAAGAAGTGGACGTCGTTCCTGAAGGCGCGCCTGGTGTGCTCGGCGCCCGAGCAGCAGCTGCACTTCAACCGCCTGCAGGCCGTGTTCACGCTGCCCGGTGCCCGCTGGCAGGACACCGCCTTCTTCGGCGTCTTCCAGGCCCGCTGGTGAGTGCCCGCCGTGCCCGCTTGGCCCCGTGCACCTGGTGGCCTTGTCCTGGTGACCATGGTGGCCTTGACCCTGTGCACATGGTGGTCTTGCCTTGGTGCCTATGGTCACCATGGTGGCCTTGTCCTGATGACCATGGTGGCCTTGTCCTGATGACCATGGTGGCCGTGCCTTGGTGCCCGTGGTGGCCTTGTCCCGTTACCTGTGGTGGCCTTGTCCCAGTGACCCTGGTGGCCTTATCCCAGTGCCCATGATGGTCTTGTCCTGGTGACCATGATGGTCTTGTGCCTGTGCATGTGGTGGCCATGATGGCCTTTTGCTGTTGCCCGTGATGGCCCTGTCCCTTTGCCCGTGGTGACCATGTCCTGGTGACCATGGTGGCCTTGTCCTGGTGCCCACTGGCTGCCACCCCCGGTGTGCCCGCAGGGGTGACGTGGACGTCTCTGCCATCTGCCGCTACCCCATCCTGGAGGTGAAGAAGGCCTTCGAGGGGCCCTACAAGGAGTACCGGGAGCAGGCACAGAAATGGGGGCGCTACTCGGGCAAGGTGCCCACGCCCCGGCCCGGCGCGGTGAGAGCGGGCACGGCCACGGGCTGGGGTGGTGGGGCCAGCTGTGGGGTGGTGGTGCCCCCTGAAGGGTTGGGATCCATCCGTGGGGCTGGTGGTGCCCTCTGAGGGGTTGGCATCCATCTGTGCCCCCTCAGATGGATTGGGATCCATCTGTGCCATCCTGAGATGGGTTAGGATCCATCTGTGCCCTTCTGAGAGGGATTGAGACCCCCCAGTGCCCCCATGCCCTTCCCCATGCCCTGACGTTGCCCCCATGCCCTTCCTCATGCCCTGATGTTCCTCCCATGCCCTCTCCCGTGCCCTGATGTTGCCCCCGTGCCCCGGCAGTGCATCACGGACTGGCACCGGCAGAACGGCTTTGCCAGCTCGCTGGAGCTGCCCGACAACACGCTCAACTTCGCCAAGAAGCACCCGCTGATGGACGAGCCGGTGCCGCCGCAGCGCGGGCGCCCGCTGCTGCTCAAGAGGGATGCCAACTTCACCCAGCTCGTGGTGGACCGCGTGGCAGGGCTGGACGGGGCCACCTACGAGGTGCTCTTCATTGGCACAGGTAATGCCAGGGGACAGGCGTGGAGGGGCAGGGCACCAAGGGACAGGGCATTGAGGAGACATGGCACTGAGGGACAGGGCACCGGGGGACAGGGCACCACGTGGACAGGGCACCAGGGGACAGGGCACCACGCAGCCAGCCCCGGGGTGCCCCATCGCTGATGCCCGCTGTGCCAACCCGCAGGTGACGGCTGGGTGCACAAGGCGCTGGATTTGGGCACCCACATCCACCTGGTGGAGGAGCTGCAGGTGTTCGAGCCGGCTCAGCCCGTGGAGAGCCTGGTACTGGCGGGCACCAAGGTGAGTGTGCCAGGGGCGGTGGTGGCAGCGTCACCGCGGTGGCACCCGGCGGAGTCACCTCACTGCTGTCCCCTCCCACCCCTGGCAGAAGCTGCTGTTCGCCGGGTCCCGCTTGCAGGTGGCACAGCTGCCCCTGGCAGAGTGCGGGCGCTACCAGTCCTGCACCGACTGCGTGCTGGCACGGGACCCCTACTGCGCCTGGAGCCGCAACGGCAGCGCCTGCGTCCGCACCGACGGGCACAACGGGTACGGGCACCGTGGGCACGGGCACCAGGGCACGGGGATGGCACCCAGGGCACGGTCAGGGTGGAGTTTGGAAAGGGTTCTGTCCCAGAAGGGTACTGGGCACTGCCCAGGAAATGGGCACGGCCCCGAGGAGCTCCAGAAGCATTTGGATTTTGGGGTGGCTGTGCAGGGGTGCCAGGCTGGGATCAGTGATCCCTGGGGGTCCCTGGGGAGGGCACCGCAGGTACCCCCCTCACGGTGCCCTCCTCCCGCAGGTCCCACCTGGTGCAGGACGTGCTGAGCTCCGACACCGGCGCCTGCTCCGTGCCACAGGTCGCCAAGCAAGGTGAGACCCTGCTGGTGCCACACAGGTGTGCCCATGCACCCCGTGCCACCCCGTGAACCCCCCGTCCCATCCCATCCCATCCCATCCGCGCTGACGGCCGTGTCCCCGCAGGCTCCCTGACTCCCAAGAACGTGACGGTGGTGGCGGGCACCGACCTGGTGCTGACGTGCCGCCTGGCCTCCAACCTGGCACGCGCCCTCTGGACCTTCGAGGGCCGGGCGCTGGCGGCCCAGCAGGTGCTGGTGCTGGGCGAGGCGCGGCTGCGGGCGCTGGTGGTGCCCGGCGCGGGCGCCCAGCACAGCGGCACCTACCGCTGCCTGGCCGAGGAGCAGGGCGCCCGCCTGCCCGCCCAGGAGTACCGCGTGGCCGTGCTGGCCGGCCCGGGGGCGCCGCTGGAGACGCGGGCACCGCTGGAGAGCCTGGGCGTGGTGTGGGTGCTGGCCGTGTGCCTGGGCGCCCTGTGCCTGCTGCTGCTGCTGGCCGTGCTGTCGCTGTGGCGCCGGCTGCGCCACGAGCTGGGCAAGGGCGCCAAGGCCATCGAGAGCACCCTGGTGTACCCCATCGAGCTGCCCAAGGAGCCGCCCAGCCCGCGCTTCGTGCCCAGCGCCGCCTCCGACTCGGACGAGAAGCTCTGGGACCCCTCCAGTTATTACTACTCGGACGGCTCGCTGAAGATCGTGCCGGGCCACGCCAGCACGGCGGGCACCGCCTGCTGCCGCAACGGCGGCCCCGGCGCCGCCTCGCCGCCCGCCGCCATCCCCGGGCAGCCGCTGCACTCGCCCACCCGCATCCACCTGGGCCCCCTGCGCGGCTCGGCCTCCAACGGCTACATCCGCCTGGCGCTGGGCGCCGAGGAGCGCCCGGCCTGCGCCGACCTGGCCGAGGAGCTGCGGCGCAAGCTGCAGCAGCGCCAGCCCCTGCCCGACTCCAACCCCGAGGAGTCGTCGGTGTGAGCCGTGCCCGCCTCCGCTCCGGGAGCCGGCGCGGGCACCGCGGAGCGGGCGTGGCACGGCTGGCAAGGCATCCGGCTGGGCACGGGCGGTTGGCATCAGAACCCGGCTGGGGACGAGCGTCTGGCATCAAAACCTGGCTGGGGACGGGCGCCTGGCACCAGGATCCGGCTGGGGATGGACACGTGGCATCGGAACCCGGCTGGGGACAGGCACCTGGCATTGGGACCCAGCTGGGGACAGGCACCTGGCATCGGGACCCAGCTGGGGACAGGCACCTGGCATTGGGACCCAGCTGGGGACGGACACCTGGCACTGGGACCCAGCTGGGGACGGGCACCTGGCATTGGGACCCAGCTGGGGACAGGTGTCTGGCACTGGCACCCGGCTGGGGATGGACACCTGGCACCGACACCCGCCTTGGGGACAGGATTGCCACACTGGCACCTGCCCTGGGGACAGCAGGGTGACCCCAGTGCCCGGCCTGGGGACAGCAGTGTCGCCACAGGATGTGCCCTGTGTCACCCCAGTGCCAGTGCCCACCTTGGGGACAGGATTGTCACTGGCACCAGGGATGGGACCCCCACCCTGGCACCCAGGATTGTCACTTGGGTACCTTGGGCACAGGCCTGGCGGCCTGGCACCGCTGCCCACCTTGGTGACACCTCTGCCACCCAGCCGTGCCACCGTGTCACTCCGGGGGTCCCGGTGCCACCACCTTCGGTACGGTGTCCCCGTGGAGGGACAGACCTGGGGACGCCTCTGTGCCCACCTTGTGCCCGCTGCCCTCGGGACGATTTTTTTGGGCCGATTTCGGGTTTTTCTCCCTGACATTTTTCTATCTCCACCCCCTCCCTCCGTGCCCCCTTGCCAGGGCTCTGTGCCCACCCTGCCCTGGCCTTTGTCCCCTCCTGTCCCCCCCGTCCCCAACCCCTGCACGCCCCCCACCCCTTTTGTATAAGCCCCACCCCAGTGTAATTTATTTGTTACCGAAATTATATTTATTTGCTGTAAATACCTGAGTATTTTTATATTCATAATAAAAGGACTTCCGAAAAAAAGCCAAAAAAAGCCAAAAACAAATCCGGGATTTTTTTTTCTCTCTTTCTCTTTTTCTCGGGGGGTTCTGGGGGAGTTTGGGGGAAATTTTTGGGGGAGTTTTCGGGAGGTATTGAGGGAGGTTTGGGGGAATTTTTGGGAAGGTTTTGGGAAAGCTTTGGTTGAGGTTTCGGGGAGTTTTTGTGAGAGATTTGGGGAGGATTTGGGAGAATTTTGGGGGAGGTTTGGGAAAGTTTCGGTGGAGGTTTTGGGGAGGCTTTGCGGGACGTTTTGGGCTCCCCCTCGCCCTGCCCCGGTGCTGAGCTCATGGAAAAAGCCGCGGCGGGGCTAAAAAAGGACAAAAGCGGAGCCGTTCCCAGGCGGGGGGGCCGGGCCGCGCCCCCCTCCCCGGGGAGGCTCCGCTGGGACCGCGCAGGAAACGGGGGAGGGCGCTGGGAACGGCTCCGGGCCCGGCCAAATGGGGCTGGGGGCGGGCTGGGACCGCCGTGGGGGGACGGGGACCCCAGGGACGCCCCAAAATAGGGGAGGGGCCTCCGGGACCCCCATAAAGGTGTGGGGGTGACCCCTGGGAACGCCGAGTGGGGGAAGAGCCTTGGGCCCCCCTAGTGGAGAGCGGGAGCGCTGTGGCTGCCGTTGCTGGTGGGGGTGGGGCTTGGGGACCCCAAAATTTTGGTGGGGGGGCGAACCCCGGGTCCCCAAAGGGGGCTTTGGGCGGCCGCTGGCGCCCCCTGGCGGCGGTACCGGGTGTGAAGAGTGCGCATGCGCTGCAACGGTTTGAAAGCGGGGTCCTTCGGCTGCATTCGGGTCTTCCCGGCTTCCTTCGGCATTTTCCGGCCCTTTTCATCCTCTTTCGGCTCTCTCCGCCTGCCCTCGCCCTCTCCGCCTGCCCTCGGCTCTCTCCGCCTTCCCTCGGCTCTTTCCGTCTTCTCTCGGCTCTCTCCGCCTCTCCTCGGCCCTTTCCGCCTGCCCTCGGCTCTCTCCGCCGCGTCCCTCAGCGCCGCCGGTGCCATGGCCGGTGGTCGCCGCTCGCCGCCCGCTCCGTGCTGCCCGGGCCGGGCGGCGATGCCCTCTCCGTGCTGCCAGGGCCGCGTGGCCGTGCCCAGCGTGCACCAGAGCCTGTCCGAGATGGACTTCGAGCGGGGTCCGGGGGGCTTCGGGGCTGGGGGCGGGAGGGCCGGGTCACCGCTACCGGCGGAGCTCCGTGTGGGGTGCCCGGTACCGGAGAGGCACCGGGAACTCTGGGCTCGGGTGGGGTAGCGGAGGGGGCACGGGAATTGCTGGAGCAGCGGTACGGGGGGCTCCGGGCGGGGTTACCGGTCCCGGGGGGCTCCGGGCTGGGGTCCCGGTGCCGGTACCGGGCAGGGCCCGTGGCTGAGGCGGCCCCGCTCCCCGCAGGGATCTGGGCGGCGGCGCGGGACGGGGACGAGGCGCGGGTGCTGCAGCTGCTGGAGCGGCGAGGGGACCCCGCGGAGCCCGACCTGGCGGGGTACACGGCACTGGTACACCGGGGGTACCGGGGGCACGGGGGGCACGGCACTGGTACACCGGGGGTACCGGGGGCACGGCACTGGTACACCGGGGGTACCGGGGTACACGGCACTGGTACACCGGGGGTACCGCGGGTACCGGGGCCACGGCACTGGTACACTGGGGCACGGGGGGC